TTATTTCTCCTGAAAATACTTCTGTTCAGACTGCTTTCAAAAAAATGGTGATTTTTAGAATCAAGCGCATGATAGGAGTTCATTACCATAATAAGGATACCATTGTATTGCACGAGCAGTAGGCAGTATGTTACAATGACAGCATACTACAGTCTTGGTGTGGACCTAAATTTACAAGTAGCATGTCGTTAGGGAAATTCTCTTTTCCTCTTCAAACTGATGAAGACTTAATGACAAATATACACTTTTGCTGGCGGTGCATCTGTATTAACCTCTTCTGCTTGGGCTTACACCTTCTCTCCTGCCTGGCTGACGGAACTGCACCAATAGGAAGTGGTGATCCTGACTTTGTAAGGGATTTTCTTGTAAGAATTTTAAAAATGTGTTAAAATTTTATGGTGCCAATCTATATTCTCACTAATGAATATCACCACTATTACATAAGTTTTTGTTATTTTACATGGAAGCCTGAGGCTGTTCTTGGGGACAGTTGTACAGTTTTGAGATTTCTTTTTTTTTCTCAATTCAAATGTGCATCTCTTTGCTGTGTAAAAATCAAGGTTAGTCACCCCCATAATTGTTACTCAAAATCTAATTTATTGGTAATACGAAAAATATCCCCCAGTGGAAACAGGTGGACATTTCCTCCCTTTATCGGTAGAGACTGTATTCTTCAACAATCCCAGAGAAGATTCTCTGGGAGTTATTTTTCAGGTTCTTTCAACCCTATATTAAAGCATCTCTCTCTGGTCCTCTTGTCTGCTCTTTTATTGATTGCTTCCTTACAACTTCAGATGATATTATAATGCTTCTAGTCACTCATATTTAAGTTACTTTGTTCTCAGCCCCTCTCAGATCATTAGTAAGAATTGATTTTCACCTGTTTTATCTGTGTGAATTTATCCCTTTGTTAAAATTGGAAGAATTGGTTGCTCCTATTTTTTTCTGATTTCTCATGTCTAGTGTAAAAAATTACTAGGCAGTAACTGCAAATGAGCGTTTCTTCTTCCTTTCTTTCTTTCTGACATTTTCAATACATTTGACTTTAACATGTGTTCATCTTTTCACTGGTAAATTGTTGGTTCCTTTCCTTTTTTGCAGAGGTCAGCAACTAGTTTAGAATAGTTGTACGTCTGTAATCAAGCAGGTTGTGTAACATACACGTTACTACGTGTAAACTAAAATCAGCAAGTATATATAATCTCCCTGTGCAACACACCTCAAAAACATTTAGATTAATTTGAGGCTATTCAGCATCTCACTGGTATTTTGTGTGACATTCTCACCTTACATCCAGCACAGCACAGTTCTCCTCCCTTTGTTGAGCAGTTTGTGAGGTGCATGCCGCACTGAATGGTGCTACTGTTTGGTAACAGGGATAGCTAAAGCATTTTTAATTTGTATGGGTAAGGCCTTGGGCCCAGACAAAGACAGACAACCAGGACCTGCGCTGTAGAAACAGCACATGGAGAACATTTGAACATTTTATTTAATAATTTTCTCTTTTATATATTTTATTGCATCTTATATACAGTGTGTCACCAGCTGCTTTATTAAACCAATAGAGTTAAATCAGTATAAAAAGGACTGAAGGGGTAATCTGCTATGATTACTTCCAATGGCTTGCATGAGCCTTACATTTTTAAATTAGTAATCAGAATAGCTACAAACTGAGCCCTAGCAATGTCATTCATTGCCCACATACTGCTCCCCTGGCAGGGTGGGATGGCTCTTATCTGGAGACTGCTTCAAGGATAACGTCCACTGAGCTCAGATGCCCAAATACAATACATTAGTGTGGTACTTGCTGAAGGAATGTAGGAGGACTGGAGAGTGTAATGCAAATTCCCTTGACCAAATTCCCATGACCATGACCTTGATCATGGACAGCAGCACCCATGGAAAAGGATAGGAGGTGATGAGAAATGCCGTGTTAGAAAAGAGAAGGAGCATTTTGTGCAGTGTTTTCTTCCTCAACAACTATTCTTTGCCTCTTCCAAAACAAGAGAGAGCTGGGAGCTGTTGCACTACTGTGTCACCAGCACAGAGCAATCCATGCACTGCTGCCCAATATTAATAATTAGTATTACTAATCTTAATAATATTAATGTCTCCAACATCAACTAATCCTCTATATCAGTTAATAATTTTGAACTGAGAAAAGCCCCAGTGACCATGTGACAAAATCAGTTATCTAGCAAGGACAAAAGTTAAAGTGTTGTTCTTCCTTACAAATCAAACAAAGCTGGAAAAAAACACATTTATTTACTAGCCTCCTGTGTGTGTTCTTTGGGGCGGTTGGAAGACATCTGTCATGGCAAAGGAGAATCAGGTGACTCAGGTCTCAGAGGGCTAGTTAATCATTCCAGTCATTCTGACAAAGGCTGAGAGCTTGAACATTCTCAGTCTCCCTTAGAACTCTGCAGGAAACGAATACCTTTTTTTTCTTATCAGTTTTCTTGTGGACGTCATCATTTTTCGGACAATGCAGTAAGAAACCCTTTCTTAAGTAGTACATAACCTTTCTTTAGAAATGTTTTGTATCACTGGGCCTATAGCATAAAAAATGTGAGAAATTAATATTTAAATATACACGGAGAATTTTCTCATAGATTTGAATGGTCTTTATCTACTGGATTCTTATCTGTTTCTCTACAAAAATGTTGCAGTCGTGATTCCCATAATTATCTTACTCTTTGTACAATGTCTTTTTGTTTTTACCAAGGCTCAAAGACCTGCATTGCTTCTTGTTGCACACATTTAAAAAACGATCATATCTAATCAGAGGAAAAAAAACAGTGTCAAAATATAGAAAAGTTTGTAGCTGATCACTAAAATCCCTTTTCTGCTCATTGTTGTAGTGCTTGCTAACATTTCACGAACTGCAGTACTTGAAGGGATATCCGTACACCTTCTAGGATGAAACCTGGGGGGTTTTCCTACCCAGGATCTGGCTTCAGAAAGGCATTGTCAAACCAGCTAAAGGGATTTAGGTGCCCAGATCCTAGTGATTGTTTCTGTTTAATGTGGGCTTTTGAAGGCCGCTGAGACAAGCAAGGGAAGCTAAGGGAAACATAGAAACATTTCTTCTAAAATGTGGCATAGTGAATGGGAGTTTAGCTGTATTGTGGCCATTCTGTGCAATGTTCAGGGAAAAGGACTCATAAATGTTGTTGATGTTTCTATAGAATATGATTTTTTTTTCACTCTGTTATGTTCCTCACCACTTCCTAGGATCCCCCTGGAGATAATTAGATATCATGCTGAAACACCTTCACACAAATTGAATTTTGAAGAAAGGAAGCAGCTGGATGAGGATGTGTCTGTTGCTGAGGTTGAACAGTCAGCCTGTGCCCTTGAACAAAGCCCCCGATCTCAAAGGACTTTCTACTGATTCATATGAATAGTTCCAGCATATTTTGGAAAATTTCCTAACTAAAAATTGAACGAGGCACCCACATCAGTTTTATATCTGCTATTAGCTCAGTTAATGGACATGGATTGAGGAAACATGATAAAATCGTGGAAGTTGTGTCTCCTACAGAGCAATTTCATTATGCAGTACTGATACTAAATTGCTTTCTAATCTGTAATACTGAACAGTTTTTTCCGACTTTGTTCATTAAGACTGAACTGCTTTCACGGGGAAGGGACATGACTTGCACATTCAAAGACTACATGTAATAGCACAATATATGCTGTATTCATTATAGATTCGGAATACAGAGTCTGAATATAGAAGTAGCTTTTTGTAATGTGCAGTGGAGCTATCATGGCATGGTAACCAAGAAATAAATTTATCTTGGTACAGTAACATTCATCTTTTCCTTGGATACAATACAAATCAAAGACAGTTGACTGAATATGAAATTTATATACAAAATCTTAAAGAGTAATCTAATTCTCAGATATAAATAATCTGACATTTAAAATTAAGGCAGACACTCCAAGCTTGACCTTACCTACCTATAGTATTGAGCTTTTACAGTTTTGAATAAAATGCTAAGTGGTTTTGCATGAATCTGAATTTTTGTTTTGCTTATTATCTCCTGTTTACTTAAATTAACCTGCTGACCAAAGTTAATTCAGTTATACCTGAGTGTGTATCCTTTCACATGCTGAAGGGAAAATTGTTTTCAATAATTCTTATCATGTTGCCTTACCCAGCAGGAGACAAACTAAAATATTGTGTGAATGTTTTATAGTCCAGTCCAAATCTGAACTCTGATCTAAGCCCTTATCAGTGGATGTTGTGGTTTAAAGACCCGTTGGCAGTGACAAGAACAGAGGAATATAGGCAGGGTTTGAAGCAGCCATGTTATGTTTCTCATCCCATTAAACAGCAGCATATGCTGTGCTGATTGACCGCGTCCTCTAGCAGGGGTCCAAGGACTTGGCCTCATATCTTTAGATCTGTAGCAGACAAATCAATTGTTCAGCAGTCAGTTTCCTTAGCAGTAAAATAAATCTATATGGTGTAAAAAGAATGAAATACTTAGCAAAATTATGGCTAGTTTTATAATTATCCCAAATAGTGGCAGTTTAGATGCCTCTTTCATGCAGCTTTGGGTCAAGGAGGGAAGACGTCTAGTTCTGAATTCTATCCTGTAGTAAATTATACTTGCAGTTCTTTATGAGAGAAAAAAGGAAAGAAAATGTTAAAATTCAATTGGTATCTGTTAGGAGACACAACACCAGGGCTGGCGGCATTACCAGCAGTGCCTTGTTAAATTCCCTGCGTGCATCGGTCAGCAAATGCTGTGGGATCTGCAGCTCTAAGAACATACCAGTTCTATGCCCCTTGGTTTTTTTCAAACTACACCTTAAAGATATGGTGAGTTATTTTTGACATATACGTGATGGGTTGCTAAAACAAAGAAGTAGCTATTTTCAGGAGATTTGATTTAACCCATTCTTAAATATGAAAATATACATCTCTCCTCCATTCTGGATTTTGGGAGCTGACACTTTACCTAGCACTTGTTACATTCGCTTTCCAGATCACGTGAATGGTCACTGTACAAGTCCAACATCCCAGAGCTGCAGCTCAGGAAAACGACTTTCCAGTGCGGATGTCTCAAGAGCAAACCGCCGAGGGCCCGGGAGGCCCCCCTTCAGAAAAGCCCAGTCTGCAGCCTGCATGGAGATTTCTCTCCCAGTCACCACAGAAGGTGGGTGGCAATGAATGTTTTGCTAGGTATTCATGAATTTCTCACAGGCTGTGAAAGCAAATAAGTTTAGCGTGATCCTTGTCCTAGTCACTGCCCTGAACTGCTGTCTTCATCCGAGTGCTTGGAATTAGAACCACCCCTGTGTGTTAGTGTTGTTACTAACAAGGCTGCTCCTGAGCTCTGTGCTGCCTAGGGATGTAGTGTGCTGAACCTCCCCGAGCTCCTGCAGCTCCCCGAGCCTGTATGGACTGGGGGCTTTGTTCTGGAAAAGCGATTCTTTGTGGCGGCTTGTGTACAGTTACTGTGACGGCTGATGGTACTAACTTTCTAAACTCTCATTGTCTTTACTTACCGAGTCTGAAAATGAGTAAGATATTTTTAGAATGTGAGTTCAGGCTTTGCACATACTAATTATTTATTGGTACTGAAGACTTTATAAAATTCCACAATCCCTGGCCATTGTTTATGGTAAAATTATAACCCTTTTTTTTTTTTTTTTTTTGATTTAGAATGCATTTCTTCCTTTCATCCTTGAAAAACCAATCTTCAAGTCTTGATCTGCCTGAGTGCTGAGTCTTGATGAAATTTAGAGAGTGGATCACTCTGGCAATGCTTTGTGCTTAAAATTTAAAATAGGCTTATTTTAATTGCAGCAGTGCCAGCTATTGCACCACTGATCATTTAAGTAGAAGGATTCAGCTGACATGTTCTTCTTCAATCTTGATAGTGTTCCCACTCTGCAGTTGTTGGCCTTGACCCCCATTTCCCATGTTTCCAGCTCCCCCACATTCTTGCAATAGAACAATGCCTCATCTGTGCAGAAAAGCTTCAGTCTATCAAAAACTGAAAAAGCATAGCATAAAAATAAATGGTGGAGGCCTGGAGTGCTGGTTGTGTTCAATTTTGGTAATAAGTAAAAAAATAATAGTATTTAAGCAACATAAATGATAAGTTAATATTGTTAGAATAAAATAATTAATTTTAACAATTAGCTCTTTCAAAAATCCAGGGTTCATTTTTAATCAAGTTGCAGAATAACTTCCTAAGTACCTAAGATAATACTCTCCTGTGGCTGTTGTCTGCGGTGTAGAATAGACTGAACCACCTGTAATAATATGTGATAGGCAATCAAGGACACCTTGACCCGAACACTCTGTCCTGTGAGGAGCTTTTGTATCCTAGCCTGCCCACTTGCAGAGGTGTCTGCATCACAGTTCCTTACAACTGCAACCAGTACTCCCTATTTTTCATGATTGTTAATGGAGACAGAGCAAGGGGAATTCTATCACTCAGTGTCTAGTTTCGTATTTTTAAAAGCAAATTGTTGCAAAATACCTTTGCTACTAGTAGCAAATTGCTAGAAACTTTGATTTGTTTGTTTTATGATAACAAAATAGCAAATTCTTTCCTCTACATTAATTACTGATTACGAACATAACATAACCCTTTCATCTAGCTCTCTTTATGTGCCACACAAATATGGTAAGTACCATTGTCATATAATAGCTCCTGGTGGAAAATATATCACTGCCACAGTAGTTTCTGTTGCTGTGTGTTTTTCTTCATCCTATGTAATGCAAAACTCTTCTGAAATTCTTGTATGCAGATACTGCTGCAATACTTGTACATACTGAGGCCACACTACTACCTATTTCTTTTATGCTTCTTTTCTTTTTGTCTCCCATCCTCCCAGAGTAAGTTGAGTCAGTGGCAGGCAGGTGAGTTTGTGTACAGTCACCTTTCAGCAGGTCTATTGACTAAAATAATGTTCTGATTATCTGTATTCTCTCATTAAAGCAAATCCATCTGACCAGCTTGTCTAAACATTTTCTGAGATGCCTGTGGTATTCTAGCTCAACTACTGATCTGTCTGGTATGACTGACATTCCACTGTTCTTCATGTATCTTCAATTTCTAGGCACACTGTTTAGTCAAGTAGTTCAGTGTATTTCTGAAGGTTTTTATACTAAGTAATTTGATTGAAGGTAGTATGGTCCTTGTAAGATTCTCAGTCTTGGTGAGGGAGAAGGAAGAAAAGAAGTTAAAGGGTTTGAGAAATAATATACTCAGAATAAAAATTCTCTCTCAAACGTAAAACTGGTTATGATCAAAACCTTCTGGTCTAGTGGTTCCAAAATAAAATGAAAAAATCCTCTCTCTGCTAAGAATTTATTGGCTACTTAGGAGCATATGCTGCCACAAACAATAGATGTATTACCAAGAAATTATTTCCTCTTTTTTCTATGTATTCTCATGTGGTGAATGAAGATACATATTTTATGTCCTCACTGGAAAAGTAATATTTCAGGTTAGAATTTGGTAAGATTTTATTATTCTACCCAAGTAGAATTTTGATTAGAGTTTGCTATCTCAGTAGTGTTAAGGACTTTTCATACATAAAAAAAAAAAAAAAAAAAAAAAAGGCGCCTTTGTGTGGGGGTAAATTGTTCTTACCTTTTTTAAGCCTGTCTCTAAGGCACTGATAATACTTGGATATTTTTTATAATAATACTTTCAGTTCCTGTTCTTTATGATCTCTTCTATTTGATTTGATTTAAAAGATAATATATTTTGGTGAGTAATCACAAAATATCTATTAGAATAATAAATTAATCTTCTCCTCTCGCATTGGATTTCAAAATCTACTTATTTAAATTTGATCTTCTGGTACAATAGGAATTGTATTTCCAGCATTTTCATCAAGTGTATTTTCAAGCAACTTTCACATAATAAATTATTTTGCATTCATTCCTGTTAGCTGATTGTCAAGATTTTGCTGACTTTCACCACTTTACTTGTGCAAAAGGATTCCTGATATAGAAAAGCATTTTTGAAGAATGTCTTTGCAATGATGAATCATAGGAAGAAAATGGAAGAGGGTTGTCTTGCTTTCTGCTGGTTGAAATATTGCAAACTGCTCAGGTTCATAAAGTGCTGATATTTCCTCCATACTGATAGAAGAATAATTCAAAAGCCAAGTAACAGTAGCAGAATAGTGGTGTCTAGGTGTGCATCATTACTGTTACTGCTTAAACCTGTGTGTTTCCCAGTATCCTCATCATCCTCATTTATGCTGTTTAAAATGTTACATATTGTCCTGTAGTATCTTCTGGTTTCATCAATGCAGTACTCTGATGGCTGTAGTAATAAATTCTGTAGTTGCTCAATATTATATGTCTAATTATAGCAAGAAATTAGAACCCTGCAGGTTCTTAAGTGCATATTATTAGATAAAAGGAAGAGATTTTTTACAGTGAGGGTGGTGAAACACTTGAACAGGTTGCCCACAGGGATGGTGGATTCCCCATCTCTGGAAACATTTAAAGTCAGATTGGACAAGGCCCTGAGCAACCTGATCTAATGGAAGTTGTCCCTGTTTATCACAGGTGGGTTGGACTAGATGACCTCTAATAATTCCTTCCAGCCTGAACTTTTCCATGATTTATGATTCTAAATATTTACCATTCTTGTTTTCACATACTTTTGACTAAGATGTTTCTTTCTTACAATATTTAAGAATTTTTTGGCATTGTAAACAAACCCACAAATATAGGAAATTCCATTGTTGAGCTTCTAAATTATAAACTTCTTTAAGTCCTTTTTGACCATAAGTTTTTGAGATTTCAGGAGTTTGTGATTGTATTTCTTTGATAAGGCTTCTTTGCACAGGGTATAAACTACATTTTTTATTATCAAGCACAACACTGTGCTTTTAAATATCAACAGAAGTAAAAAATGCACATGAATGCGAATTATTCTTACCCAAGAAAATCCTTAACGAGATTCTGACCCATAATGACATTCTATGGAATGGGAATGTGTTTTATCTCCAAGCTTAGTGGATTTCCTTCCAGGCTGTAGCCATTTGCACTTGCTCATGTCTTGGTCTGTTCGAGCTCTGGGCTCTGACTGGCACCCAATTTTGTCTGCAGGTGTCCTCACAGAAACACTGAAATAGGAATTAAACTTTTGTTTGGGGAAATGCATGCCCCAACTGGTTTGCCTTCTGCCCTGTGGCACAGATCCAAAATAGTCCATCTCAGGTTAAGAGCTAATATCATATATTCTTCAAATGTGTTCAAGCCCTCTTTCCATGTAGAACAGCAGGGATGCCAGCCTGATCAAGAATCTCAGTGTAGATGAATAGACCTCAAACATCTGCTCCTCTTCTTTATAGGAAAACAAAATATTTCAGTTGAATTTTTAATTGTAATTTTAGATTAAAGAAAACACTGAATTAAAGAAAATGGTGACATAAAAGAATAAAAATAAAATTGCAGTGGGAGGGAACATGGTGGGGTTACACTTGTATAGCTGGTGGGTATATGGATGTGTGCACAGATGCACGTTCTGGCACACCATTCTCCTTGCTTTGTGTGTTATAACCAACACTGAGAAGTCTTTCAGATTTGGTGCTTCTTGGTTATCGCTTTCTTTCAAACAAACAGTAGTTTGCATTCTCCAAATGGTTTCTCTCTGCCCTTGCCTTTGAGAGCTTGTGCTGGCTGACTCTGCCATTTTCTCCTTGCCTGCATTCATACAGAAATCTGAGCATTCTGCATACCCATATCCAAATCTTGGACAGAAAGTAAAGACAGGATAGAGTTTTTCCTTTGAAATGTTGTGCTTGGAAATTTATTTTCTCCCAGCAGCAGTGATAGATAGCTCTTTCTTTTTTATTATTATTTTTCTTCCCCCTTATGTAGTTTTTAACTAGTCCAGCTTAATCACCTTGTACCAGAAAGGCCATTTAGGTCTTGTGCTACAGACTTGCCTCTGAACAAGGAATCCTAACAAGGTTTGGCTGTGCATTGTAATTTTCTAGGAATGATAAGAACAGTCTTTGAATTTGCTTTAGCTTTTCTTTAAAATAATTCAGTTTCAGCATGTACCTCAGCTTTTGGATTAACTTTTGGTTATATGTAGTTAAAATTTGATACAGAGCACTTGAATTGAAATGTGGCTGTGAGCTGGCAAAACGAACCACTCAAGCGTATTTA